CTCCTCCTCCTCCTCGGATCAGGACTGATGGAAACACTTCCACAGTAAATACCCTCCACACCTCCCCCACCTCCCTCCCTCCATCTGAGCCGTGGATCTGGTTCTGGTCCTTCCAGAACAGAAGGCTGCTTCAGAGGGAATAAAGCCCACATGCAGGCCTGCAGTTCGGGACAGAACCAGAACAGAAGCAGACACAGGGAAATAAAAGCTGTATCAGTTACCAGTCAGGACGTGAGGGCTGCTGTCAGAGACCTGCAGTCCACAGACACACAAAAGGGAAATCCACCATCTCATCCTCAGCATCAGCATCATCATCATCTTCTTCTGTCAGCAGCCAACAAAAACACAAAGCGGTGGTCCAACAGCAGCTCTCAGGGGGCTCTGCCTTCGCTAGRAGAGCCTGGAGCCGGGCCGGACCGTCTGGTTCGAGCGGTTCCGCTGCTGGTGGGTCATCTGGGTCCCTGCGAGTCTGAACGCTGAGCGCGTCTGAGCGGAGCACCGAGAACCCCCACCTCCCTCCTCCCTCCCCCCGCCATGGATCCAGGAGGAGGAGGAGGAGGAGGAGGAGACACCTCCCCTCAGCCCAGCAGCTCGCTGCAGGAACAGATAATGAATAAATAAGAGGAGAGGAAGGATGGAGGAGAGAAAAGATCCGGTTCAGTTCTGCTCTGTGGTCCATCAATCAAAACACTGAGTCCACCCCCCCCCCCAATAATAAATRAATAAATATTACACAGTTAACAAAATTATTATTATTCATCACATTAAAGCTGCCAGAAGATGTCATCTTATTTTGTCTTCTTCAGCAGGTCTTTTATTTTGAAAGTCTGTCGTTGTCAGCTCTCAGCACTGATTTGTTTTTGTTCAGCAGTGAGAACTTGTTCCAGAGGTTTTGTCATAAAATCTTTTAAAACTAATGAAAACAATTTGATTATTTTTATTCTGGAACCAAATGTTATTTTAACCTGACCTGGTTATTCAACCCTTATATTCATAAATGT